TTGCTGCTCCAGCAAGTAAAGAGGGGAACAATGACTTTAATCACTTTTATAGTATGCTACTGTGTTGTAAATCGGCCAACAAGCCTGATCATCACAGCTCAATCAAAGCAAAAACTGACATATTTCTTGACATTATTGAGGACGCCATCGCAGCCACAGACTAGCTAATATTATCTCTTAAAAATATTTATTTCCCACAATGGTCTGTCATCTTCATCTACAATAAATGACTGTTAGCTCTAAATCTTTTGACTAGTTAAATGTATGTAGCTCAAACACCCTGATTGCTGCTGTCTTTGGTTAATTTTGATACACAGCACACACAGGAAGTTCCACTCACTGCCTGTAGTAAACATTTCTCCCTCTGCAGGGATTGGCAATCAGAGGACCACAGTTGGGTTTGTGGAGCGGCGACACAAAGAGATAATTCAGGAGCGAGTCGGGCCTATTCAGACGGACAGAGAAGTGGTCAAACCTGGAGGAGTCGTGGCCGGAGCTGAGCGCGAAGGACCGAAGAATCGCAGTGAGGCGGAAAGAGCTGTAGCTCTGCTGAGAGCTCAGAGGAGTCTGTCTCCAGAGGGCCACAGATCCTCGTCACTGCCTCCTCCAGCACACCGAAACATTCCCACAGCTACACCCAGTAATTACTCTCAGTTCTGTTACCTCTGCTTAAAGACACTTCCGATTCTTGGTTTTTGATCACAACTGCTTTTGTAAAAAAAACAACAAAAAAACAGACGTGATAAGAAAGTTCAGAGTCTGCCTTTATTAGAACCAAAAAACTATTTTGCTGTTGTCCCGTTTTAAAATAGTGTCCTTGTGCAACAATACAATACACGGCATAATCGAGTTGTACTGTGATGCAATGGCATGTGAGTCCTCCAATGTGCTGTGTAGTGATTACTCATGTATTTTTTTGGGCCACAACAGCACAGTTGTCACCCCCACAACCATGCCCTGCTTGCCAGAATTGACTCCCAGTGACTTCTTCATCCTTCCCCCAAAATTTTCAAGTTAAAGTGTCGCCGTTTGGACACAGTTTAAGAGATTCAGTGCTCATCTCAACATGCTGTAGTGTAAATGAAACTTGTTTTTTTTTGCTCTGTTAATGTACCTCGAAATGTTCAGCTAGAGATTCAGAGAAGAGGTGTCTAGAGATCAGACGCTCTTAAAGGTGGTCCCTCTCTTTATGTAAAAGATGGAATTTCAAATATACTGTTTGAGTTAAGGTTTTTATCAACACAAAATCTGCGTTCTATCCCTATCTATATGTTCTCAGTATTTGTTCTGTTCCCTGCTGTTCCAACAGAGGTCTCTGTTTATGACATTCTGGAGACAATGTAGCATGTACTGCTTTTTAATCCCAAGACAGCCCTGTCATTTAGTTCATTTTCTTTTTTATTTTTTGTTGTTGTTTAACATCATTATAGTCTTGGCATTTTCATTGCTAACTTGTCAACTTCATCCTCAAAAAATGTAAGATTTAATGTACCGGCATTTCTAACTGACATTGCGTCAAAATGCTGAACTGTAGCATTATATGGAAACCCAGAGACTACCCTATGTGGTATATGTTTGTGACTCTTTAATGGTACTACATAATGCGACTTGCAAGCGTTCCAAGTGCTGCATGAACGCTGGGAGCAGTGTATTTAAGAAGGTTTTTGATTTTTATAGGCAAAGTGTCTGAATTTTTAATGCCACCTCATAAAATTCACATATTCTGGTGTGTGCCAATAGTATTGCAAGTTTTGCCTTTTAATTGCAGTTTTTAGGGCCAAACAAAAATGCCAGAAAAACAACAAAAACAGAAAACACTGATAGCCGTAATTGATTAGGAGAAATAGTACTTGCTCACCCAAAAACTGTTAAATATAGAATATTTGACACTGTATTGGTTTGTGTTTTACCAGAATGAGCAGGCAGAATGATTGAAATATGTTCTAATCCAAGGGACACACCGTTTTACAAACATTTAATCCAACAACAGAGCAAATACTAAAAACATCAAATGATTGGCTTCATCACCTACTTCCATCTTCAGCGTTTAGTCCACACAGGAAGGTTGAGGCCAATCAGAAACCAAACTTCGATTTAACAAGAGTTCTTTAATCTGTTCAGTACAGTATGTTAGTCTATGAAGATTTTCTGTTTTATGACAAAAGCTGTCAAAATAAGAGAGGACTCTGATGTTGTCTGACTTTTAATTATTGTTGTGCTGTTCTCTTCCATCCAGCAAAGAGAGAGACCTTACTCATGCCCCTGTCTGCCAAGTCCAGCCCTAAACGCTGCCCCACTGAGAATTACTCCACTGCATTTGGTCACCTAATGCCAAGAGAGGAACACCTGAACAAAAGGTGAGAAACATTATCAGAATCAATTCATTTGCCTTGTCTCATGAAGCAAGTTTGACTTGAGTGACATTTGGATTTAATCAGTTAACTCATCAATCTGGATGATATCTTAACCATCTGGACATGTTTTTAGATTCAGTATCACCTCCACTTTTTCAGTTTGTCTTTATATCTGACTTTTTTCTTGCTTATAAGATGTGGGAGCTTGATCATTGCTGGTAGTCGTGTGACGTTACAGATTGCACTCAGCAGCAGCTTGGTGATAAACCTACAGACTAAAAAAAAAAAAAAAAACAGCAAAAAAGCTGCAGCATAAATTGTTTCCACTGGGTTCAGTAAAAATAAAAATCCAAAATTCTCTGTTCATCAGCACTCAGAAACTGTGATTCAGTTAGGACCAACAGTCATATGACAAAAATTTAATGACTCTTTGGCTAAACTACAGGAGACTAAAGGAGATGATAAGAGAGACTGAGAAGAAAATACAAATGGGATTAATACAATAAATACAGCATGGCTCAAAAATGGTAAACACAAGAGCCAGATGTCAGGAGGTTGTTGGAAGATACATTCAGCATGCTGAAATATCTTTCTAGAATGTTTGTAAAGTTGATAATCAGAGAAATCCATCTTTTTTTGATTTATAGTATTATAACTCTTGTCATACTGCACAGAAGACATTCAATTGTAAACAGATGTAAACGAGATGCTGTTTACATCACCTGCATGAGGTTAACGTTAGTCTTTGTGAGGAATGAAGGATTTGATAAGAAGTGATAAAGGACTCCCTAGTTACAGTACTTATTTGCCCCTCAAGAAGCCACATGTGTGAAGGAGGACTGCTGGTGTAAAGAGCTGTCAAATGTTTGTGCCTTGTATGTTTAGGTCCACTTGTTGAAGTGAGAGTTTAGTTTATCTTTGCACTGTGAATCTTTGTTACTCAGCCTGATGGACATTGTGTCAGTAAGATCAAGAATAGAACAGGACTGGAGGCAAAGACAGTGACGTGACTGTCTCATCAAGGCTGTCAGCTCTTGTCTCTACAGCTGCTACTTTCCCCAATTTACAAATCTCCATTTAAAACTTAGCACCTTATCATGCAAACACCACAGAACCAGGGTTAATAGCTTAACCTGAATATATAGCTTAGTTGCATAAAGGTTTTATTGCTTTATAGTTGAGGAGAGACAGTTTTTGTTGTTATGACAATAAATGTATTTTGGTGAAAAACAATGTTCAATTTTTAAATGCCTTAAAAGACCCCTCTGGTGAAAATCAGGTTTATTCTAGAAGACACATCATGTTCCCAATACGCAGTCAACACCATAACTGAACATTTCCACAACTGCAGTGTATCGATGACAAAAAATGTGGATTCAGAGTTCCAGAATTTCTTACGCAACAAACCTAAGAAGTCAGTCTAGTCAACTTGCAGCATGGGGCTAATTTTACAGTGTTTAAGTAGAGTTGTAGGTGAGCTGGTGTGCTTGAGCTGCAAAGAGTGAGTGGTGAAAAGAGCAGGGACTTGACAGATCCACACATTTTTGCAACAGTGCAGAGCTGAAGGACATTTTAAGTCACAAAAGGATTGTTTTTTTGGAAAAAACATCTGAATATGTAATTTACATTGATAAATGTCTAATTTAACATATTATATCGTTTTAAAGGTGCATTTGTCTGATGTAAACCCTAGTTTTGGTTGATGAGGAAGTTGTTTTGCATGTAAACAAAGTGTGGATGTGAGGCTTCTCCCAAAAATGTGTGTTTTACTTCCGTCAGATTTCAGTCATTTAATTTGTGTTAGTGTTAGTTACAAACATGACGAACCTATAGCTCCTATATCCCAGGGACATATGTAGCAGAGCCAGTATTGTTTCCACTGTGCTCAGTTTATGTTATCAATTATTCAGTTATTATGCTGTAGAATAGTAAGAAAATTATTTAAAATTTGCATTTTTAGCACCAGTTGTGCTCTACCTTTAGGACAACTTTGTGACAGCAGATGAAAACAATGGACGTGTGTGGGTTTGTGCTGATAACGATCACTTGGTGTTTGAATATTCTCTCTCATGTAGAGATGGAACAAACTGATCCTGTCAGTCAGGAGGAATAAGGTGATTTTAACAACCTTACAGGGAAAAATTATATGTTGCTGTGCAAAGAGGCTGAAACCTAAAAAGTACTTGTTCTCCCCACATCACAGAGGACATGAAGCCTTGTAACTCCCTGCCTAATGAAATTTACCACAAGGTGTCAGCCTGCTGCCACCTTTGACACAATACACCTTTTGTCAACACTACAGATAAAATCTTGTAACTTCAGTCACACAGAAGTCAAAGCATGAAGCGAAACATAAACAGATCACTGTTTCCATGCAGTAACTCCCAAAGTGGTTAAATGACGGTTGTTCTTCATCTCATTGTTTGCTGCCTGCAGGCTTGACGGAGAAGCTGACAAGAGACGTCATTCATTCCACAGCAGCAGTCCAAGGAAGAGACTCCAGTTTACGTCAGCAGACAGAGAAGAAGGTAACATATTCAAGCTCTGCTAGATATTTAAAAAATAATATTTTATTTATCACTCTTCTCTTGTAATTACACCAGATTTTAATAAATGGTTTTGGTTTTCTATTTCTGCCACATAACAGTGCAAATAATACTGAATAACATGTTCGGGACATTTCAGTTCATTCCTGGAAACACTTCTGCTTTAGTCTGTGTTATTTGCAGGGTGTTTCCGTGTTTGCATGCTGCATCTGTGTGTCAGATTATTCCCTGATTTGCTTATATTTTGTCTATTTGCATGTGTTATCTTATGGTCCAGGCTGTTTTAACAAACAACAGCTGAGTTTCACAATCCATCCATCCATTATCTATACACCGCTTAATCCTCACTAGGGTCGCGGGGGGCTGGAGCCTATCCCAGCCGACTTAGGGCGAAGGCAGGGGACACCCTGGACAGGTCACCAGTCTATCGCAGGGCCACACGTAGAGACATGAGTTTCACAATCTGAAATTATAATTACAGATATCAACAATGGGCTGTAAGGTGGCCCAGTTGGTTAGTACTGTTGCCTCGCAGCAAGAAGGTTGCCAGGTCGCATCCCGGTGGGGGCACCGGGATCTTTCTGCGTGGAGTTTGCATGTTCTCCCCGTGCAGCGTGGGTTCTCTCCGGGTTCTCTGGCTTCCTCCCATAAGTCCAAAAACATGTTGAGGTTAATTGGTGATTCTAAATTGTCCGTAGGTGTGAATGTGAGTGTGCTTGGTTGTCTG